TTGAGCCCATTGTTGCAGCCACTGTGTCAATCCATCTCGTTGAGGGTCTTCCTCTTTTTCGCTGACCCTCTACTTTACCAAGCGTGTCTTTCTCCAGGGACTGATCCTTCCTGATAACATGTCCAAAGTATGTCAGATGAAGTCTCACCATCCTTGCTTCTAAGGAGCATTCTGGCTGTACTTCTTCCAAGAAAGATTTGTTTGTTCTTTTGGCAGTCCATGGCATATTTAATATTCTTCATGAACACCATAATTCAAAGGCGTCAATTCTTCTTAGGTCTTCCTTATTCGTCGTCCAGCTTTTGCATGCATATGAAAGCGATTGAAAACACCATGGCTTGGGTCAGGCGCAATTTAGTCCTTAAAGTGACATCTTTGCTTTTTAACACTTTAAAAAGGTCTTTTGAAACAGATTTGCCCAATGCAATGTGTTGTTTAATTTCTTGACTGCTGCTTCCACGGGTGTTGATTATGGATCCAAGTAAAATGAAATCCTTGGCAACTTCAATCTTTTCTCCGTTTATCATGATGTTGCTTACTGGTCCAATTGTGAGGGTTTTTGTTTTATGTTGAGATGTAATCCATACTGAAGGCTGTGATCTTTGACCTTTGTCAGTAAGTGCTTCAAGTCCTCTTCACTTTTCTGCAAGCAAGGTTATCTGCCTATCAGAGCTTGTTAATGGGTGTTCCTCCAATTCTGATGCCACATTCTTCTTCATATAGTCCAGCATCTCGGATTATTTGCTCAGCATACAAACTGAATAAGTATGGTGAAAGATACAACCCTGACGCACACCCTTCCTGACTTTAAACCACCAGTATCCCCTTGTTCTGTTTGAACGACTGCCTCTTGGTCTATGTACAGGTTCCTCATGAGCAGAGTTAAGTGTCCTGGAATTCCCATTCTTCACAATGTTAATCCGTTAGCAACCCATAATGCATAAGAGGGAAGCATTATCCAATTCCAAATGAAGTCACCCAAGGGAGAGGATGTGGCCAGAACAGAACAGTCACCAAACATAAGCCGAGCTGTCTTCATTTTGAAGATTTCCCCTTTAATTTAGAGAGACTTACTCTTATCAGCAAGACTGCAGAACTACCTTGGGGATCTTAATGAGGTCTTACATGAAGTAAAGATGGGGCAAACATCGATTCCCACCTTCCTTCCAGGTCATATAAAAATAAAATGGACGTTCTTTTTATAATCCATGTGGCCAAAATCATTACTTGTTCCAGTTAAGTGGATGAGTGGCTGCATAAAAGACTATTATAGATGGCAAGAGATGAATGGGATTCTAAATAAAGCAGGCCTTTGCACACTTATGTCACTTTTTAGCCATTATCTACAGTTTCTGTAGTTCTGCTGATCAATGCACAGAGACTAAGGTAAATCTATCATTTCTGCCCATTGGATCTACCTTTCTAGCTGACTTACTACCTTTGACCATACAGAATTACCAGTGCACTAATTTAAGGCCCAGCTCCTATAAGAAATGAAACTGTTGGGTAAGAATGCTATACTGGAATTTTTTATCAGTACTAAAAGCAGAACTGTATTTTCTCATGGGCACTGGTAACAATACCAAGGGTCAACTCCATCATTCCCTGATGATAACATGTGTGTTTCAGGTACCCTGATCATGTAACTATAGTCTTTTCACGTTCCTAATTGTAAATGGAACAAAAGTCATTTTCGACACATGTGCGGTAAGAATATGGTAACACTCTTGGAAAACAAGCTCTGGTGGTGGTGCTAGTTGTTGTTGAGTCAATTCCGACTTATGGTGACACCATGTGTGCAGAGTAGATCTGTTCCATACGGTTTTCATGGTTGTGACCTTTCGGAAGCAGATAGCCAGAAATTACTTATGGAAACTAGCTCTTAATAAAAGCTAACTGTTACCAGGGGAGATGAAAATAGACTTTCAATGGCAAAGTCCACCATAAAATATGTTTTATTACACTTAATTTTCTGACATTATTATACTTCTAGCCAGAATTTCATGATGGTAATCACAGAGTTTGGGAAAACCCTGGATGCTGTAGTATTATCTAGAATATAACTGCCACGAAACATTCCACTTGGCATCCTGGTTCATAAAAGACCTGTCCTTTGGCGTACAAAAAGAGTAGTCAAATTTAAAATAATTAGAAAGAAATTTGTTGTAATTTATGCTATGCATTAAGTAGTTAATTCTAAAATAAACAGACCAACTGAAACCCTATACCTGTGTATCAGCACAGATAAGCTCTAAAAGAAACAATCCATCTGCCCTAGTTAAGGAAGGGATTTCACTGTCAAAGAAATGTGAGGAGATGATCACAGTTAATAATGGATGTGTTATAAAGTAATGTATTCAGTTATCACAGAATAACCATCACAGTCAGGAAACTGACACTGATGGAATACTGCCATCTAATCTACAGGCCCTATTCAAATTTCACCAGCTGTCTCAATGCTTCTAATAGCAAACAAACAAAACAAAAAACAAAACACTCACTCCTCACATATCAAGATGGTTAGGTTCCAAAGACCAGGTTGTTATATGAAAATTGGCATTAAGCAAAAGTGGAGGATGACCACATCAGATCACAAAGTGGAGGATGACTACATCATTACACAATTGCCAAATTACATCATTACATAACTGCCAAACTACATCATATGCACACCAAGAAACAGAGCTTACCAGCTCCTCAGAAGTCCCCTTGGTCCCCTTCCAGTCACCATGGCCTCACCTCCACCTTCAGGGTAACCACTATAGTGGCTTCTAATACCATGCATTAGTTTTGTGTGTTTTTGAACTATTATATAAATGAAATCACACCATATCTAGTCTTTTACGTAAGACTTCTTTCAATCAACATTATGTTTGTAAAATTTATCTACATTGTTACATGTAACGGGTTCATTCCCATTGATATATGGTATTCCACTGTACGAATATTCTACAATTTATTTCTATTCTACTGTTGATGGGCATTTGGGTATATTTCAGCACTATAACAAGAGTGCTATGTATATTTCTGTGCATGTCTTTTAGTGACATATGTATGACTTTCTCTTGTGCATATACTTTAGAAGCAAAATTGCTGAGGAACAAAATTGTTCAGCTTTAGCAGATACTGTCTAACAGTTTCCTAAAATGACTGTACCAATTTAAACTTTTTTCTAAAGTAATAAAAATCGGGAGTAACTCTACTGTCCAACAGCAGAAGAATGGTTAAGTACATTAAGGTATGTTGGTATGATATGCTATGAAATATTAAGCAGCAATTAATAATACTAAGCACATAGAAAAATGCACATGATACATCATTTGGTGAAAAAAACAAAAAAACTTAGTATACCCTATATAAAAACTATATGTATAGTTTTATCAGTTATGAGAGGGAGGGAGAATATTCCTATTTTTAAAACTGAAACGTTATTTTCATCATTAAAAATTTACATATATGATTAACATAACTGAAAAGAACAGTTTGACAATAAATAAATCTGTTAACAAAAAAAGTTAGTCATAGAAATTTGAATAAAATTCCTGATCCAGTCAACAGAACAGTGATAGTATACAAGCTGTATAAACATACTGCTAATATGTTAATTGTCAGAAAAACTAATGAATCTTTAAGAATATGACAAACAGCTAACTTCTGCATTAGAACACTTCACTGCCATCTTGCACTGGAAACAAAGGGATATATCAGTTTACCTAGGGATATTTTTTATCAAATGGACTGCTCCCCCTCCATCTACATCAAGTTGTTTACATTTCTTTTTTGCACTGACCCAATAACACCGTTTTCTTACCTCTGCGTGAGGAAAAGGAGGTTCTGGGAGATACACTTTAGTCTGTTTGTTGTGACAAAGCCTTTTAAAAAGGAGAAACAGATCAGCATATTACTTAGGACACACTGTGGTATTTGTTGCCACCTAGTGGTAGCAGTGCAAATAACCAAACACTGAAGTAAGGAGCCCTGGGGACACAGTGGGTAAGAGCTTGGCTGCTAACCAAAAGGTCAGCAGTTCGAATCCACCAGCTGCTCCTTGGAAACCCTATGGGGCAGTTCTATTCTGTCCTATAGGGTCACTGTGAGTCAGAATCAACTTGATGGCAATGACTTTGGTTTTTTTTAAAAGTATTTAAAATTTTCCTGCCACTGAATCTCAGAGTGAATAAAAGCCTCTCCTATAGAATATTCAGGACATAAATATCTTGTGAGCCAATTTTATTAACCTTTAAAATTCTTCAACAAACAAACAAAAAACCCCAAACCAGTTGCACTGAGTTGACCCCACTCATGGCGACTTCATGTGCATCTGAGTAGAACTGTGCTCCATATGGTTTTCAATAGCTATGATCTTTCAGAAGTAGATGGCCAGGACTTTCTTCTGAGGTGCCTCTTGGTGGATTCGAACCAGTAATCTTTCAGTTAATAGATGAGTGCTTAAGCTTGTTATTTTGGAAAAATTTTAGATGTGTAGGAAGTTCGCAAACATAGTACAGACATCCTGTATACCCTCTATTCAGTTTCCTCTAATGTTAACATCTTACATAACTGTGGTACACAAAAGTGGTACATTTGTCAAAACTAATAAATTAACATTAGTATATTACTATTAACTAAACTTCAGTCTTTATTCAGATTTCATCAGTTTTTCCACAAATGTCCTTTCCTGTTGCAAGATTCAATCTAGGATACCACATTGAATTTAGGTCTTTGATCTTTTTGACAAATTTTTTATTTTTATATATTGATAGTTTTAGTATTTTTTTATTTATTCTATTGATATTATGCTTAGAAAATCCTTTTCCCTACAGATGGGAGCTACATAACCATTTTCTTTCAGTTTCATTACGGTTTCTTTTTTCTTCTTTTTTGTCCCCCTCTTCCCCCGCTTCACTGTTTTATCTGGAATTTGTTTTACCGTACAGTATGAAAAGAAGCATTAATTTAATTTAATTTTTCCTAAGAGTCAAGGAATTACCTGTCCAGGCACTATTTACTGAATAATCTTTCTTTTTTCAAATCGTTTGTATTAATAGCATATACCAAACTTTAGTATGTTCTTGGTTTGTTTCTAGACTATCCTGATCTATCCATTTGTTGGCAAATATAGTGCTAATATATTTTAATTACAATTGTCTCATTTATAATTATACTATGTGGTAAAGTAAATTTTTTCCTTAATTACTTTTCTTAGTCAAAATGCTCTGAGCTATTCTTGCTCATTTATTCTTGCATGAGAACTGTAGAATTACCATCAACTTCCAGAATAAATCCTATTGATTGCAAAAAACCTATAAATTACAAACTGACATCTTTGTAGTAGTTAGTCTTCCCATGCTAAGACATGAGAGGTGTCTGTCTTTTAAGCTGTTTAAATATTATTCCCTTAGAATCTTAAACTTAGTGATCATATAATTATTTCTTCCTGTGTTCCCATCTATATTTCTACTTTGCTTAATCAATAACCATGTGTTAAGCACTAAGGATACAAAGAAGTCTCTCACTTTGAGGAATCTCTAACATAAAGAAAGAGGCAGATGTGTAAACCTCTTACCACTTCAAAATAATCTGATGGAGACATAGATACATACATACATACATTCATACATACAAATATATGGTGTAACAATACAGAGAAGGGGTGGCTAATTCCATCTGGGAGTTTAAGAATGGCTCCTGGAAGAAGATGCTCTAAGAATAAACAAGAGTTAGCCAGAGAGAAACCCTATTTGGAGGTGAACTGGAGGGGTTTCTCGGGGGTGGTAGGTAGTGTGGACTGAGGGGATAACACAGGCAAAGACATAGAGGGGAGGCTTCAAACAGTTGGTTTGCTTAGAGAACTGTCTATAGTTCCTTACTGTTAGGGTATGAAGTTCAAGGTGGGGAATGGCAGGAGAAGAAGCTAGAGGCATCCTGTCAATAAAGGGGACTCACTGGAGGACTTTAAGCAGGAATTTGACATGATCACATTCGCATTTTAGATAGATCCTTCAGCAACCATTTGGAGGTCATATGAGGGGGTGGAGTGTGAGACTGAAGCACAAAGTAGAAACTTTTTGCAGAGGCCAGTATAGAGACAAGACTCCAGTCTATACCATCCTGAAGAAATGCAGAGAAGGAATCAATCTGAGAAACAATTAGGAAATAAAACTGGCAGGATTTGTTGGTTACTTGATACAGAAAAGGGAGCAATCAAGAATGATGCCTCAGTGTCTGGCATGGTAGATAGTGGTGACCCCAAACAAAATAGAGACTACAGAAGGAAGAGTAGGCTCACGCAGCAAGGAGGTTAGTTTAGTAAGGAAGTTAGTTTAGTTTTGTCCTTGAGACATTAGTTGTTGCCTGTGGGGTGTACAAGTGAAGAATTACCAATCCATGGATTTGAGAAGTCACAAGAATGGATGTGAAGCAGTTATGAGAGCAGAAGGAATCTTAATTAGTACCAGCATTTAAGGGGTAGGCAGAGAGAATACTGAAGAAAACTGAGGGAGGGGGAACAGTTAAAGAAGTAAAAAGAACAAGAGAACATTGGTGTATCTATCTTCTCTCAGTGTAATTTACTCAAACATTTTATGGAAAGAAAAGTATTTTCCTTATATAAGCTGCACCCCAGGGTGATCAACTGTCCTGGTTTTAGCACTGAAAGTCCTATGTCCCTGGGAATTCCTCAGTCCCAGGGTAAACCAAGACAGCTGGTCACCCTACCTTCACATGTTAGATTGCCAGTTCTCAACCTTGGCTGCACACTGGAATCACCCGGGAAACTTTAAAAGATAGTGATAGCGTGGTCTCACCCGTGGAGACTGTGATTTAATTGGTCTGAGTGTGGCAGAGTAATGGAATTTTGAAAAGCTCACCAGGTAATTCTAATATGTAGCAATGGTTAAGAACCACTGTCCTAGAAGGAGAAACAAAGTTTACCATTAACTGGTCGATACTTATTTCTGTTCCCTACACTCCGTGGCCAGTTTGCTTTCATTTCTCTGTGTTTCTAAGCTGTTGGCCTTGTCCATAGAGAAGTCCTTACGGCACTACAGTACATAAGCTGAGATACTAGCAGTTCCCTAATTTCTCTCGTTTTGAAGATTGCATCATATGTCTGATATTTAAAACCAAGGAAAATCCCACACACATCTAACAGGCAACCTCTTTTCCCCAATTCATTTTGTTGTTCTCTTAAGCAGTCTTGCTTTAAAAGAGAGTATCTAAATAAAGAATTCGGATACTAAAATGGAAAAATGCTAGCTCCCAACTTGAATTAACTTAGTGAGTGACTGCTGTGGAAATAGGTCAGTTCTGGCCCCCAAGCCAGGGCCACCACAGCCTGCTTTGAGGATTTTGTTTCTTCTCCTCTTTGCTGCTCCTGGAGTCAATATTCCTACAACTAGGTTGCCATAGGCATTTAGCTTCAGGGCCAGCCTGCTCTCCTGGGTCTGCTCTCAGCCACTCTGGCTCCCACTGCCCAGGCCTTGGCTCCCAGCCTCCGTGGCTCCCGGCCTGGATTCTGCTCTGGCCTCCAGATGGCCCTGCTTGTGGTACCTGCAGAAGCCCCAGCTCCTTGCTATCCCAGTGTCTGCCCACATTTGCCTGTTTGGGTTTGTTTTACTTTTAAAAAACAGAGGGGCAGTATAATGTTATGATATGTTAAAATAGAACTGATGTACAAATTTCCTTTTTTGCTCATTAGAAATTTAGTAGAATATTGTGTCCCTTTTGGCACTACCACACTATGAAAAGGGATTAAACACACTCTGTGTGTCAGAGCCCTTGAAAGTTTGGATACATTATCTAGGACACTATTACGCATATTGTAAAAGTTAAGTTAATCTACTTACCCCTTATTTCTGGCTGGGGCAGCTAGACGTAAACATGTCTAAATAACACTAAAAAGGTCCACTGACTTCATATGGTTCAATAATTTACCCACCCTAGGATTTAGTCAAATAATTTCCTGTAGTAATCAAACTCAACTGTATATTATCATGCTATTGATATTAAAAAAAAAAAAAAAAATCCACCTTTTCTTACCAGATTTGGTATAAGCTTTAGATAACATGAGTATGGGCTTTAACATTTTTTTTAACGGTTCAAGAATGTGAGAGGCAGAGGGCAGCAAGTGAGAACAGAAATATATAACATTTTCGTTATTGATTTTCAAAGCGCAGGACAATACAGTCTTTGCCTTTCATTCCTTACTCCTTTACAACTACTCTTCTAAACTCTAGCAATATAACAGATTTGGCTTTCACTAATGCAGATCTTCAGACCACAGATATGGTAAAACAACAAAATCAGTTTCATAGTAATGTGAGAGAAAAACAGGATTATTTTTATTCTTACTGCTTGAATGTATGAACTCTGAATCAAATAGAACTCACAGAGAAGAACACTTACATACCATTCAGCAAAAATCTGGGAAAACTCAAGTGAACTGTTAGCCACAGGGGAGATGAAGTAGAAAGGGACATTGGAGAGTCCGGCTGAGTCAATGTATTGATACAGGCATTCTAGGAGATCATAGATCACTCCAGAAGGGTAGCAGGGAACCAACACGTTACCTCCATTCCGGACTGTGAGTGCTATGAAAATGGAAGCCAGACAGAAAAAAAAAAAAAAAAGTGTCAAGAGTTTTATAATGATGGAATGTAACATTTAAAATAATACCTGCATTTCTTTCATTTTCCTACTTCTGCTCTTACAAATTATTTCACATGTATAATAATCTACTTCTTTTCAAGGGAAGCACCAAAGTGGAGGATCTAGAAGCTGACAATTACCTAACTTTTTATTCAACATGTTAAGTCCCTGGGAATAGGGTGTGCAATTAAGAGTTTGGGTTTTAAAGGTTGCCAATGGCAGCTGAGCCTCAGGACAGACACTCCAAGCTCCTTCTCTTTTTTTTCTCCTGCTCAAAAATGTGCTGGACTTGTCTCTGCTCAGGCTCTGACCACTGCTGAACAACCGAAAAGGAAATAGGCTCTTTTTGAGAATATTTTCTTTTATCAATGTTTTATCTCTAAGAAAATCCTCCAAACTTTACATCTTAAAATATATTACCAAATAAAGAATTGCAACGTATCAGGTATAATCATATCAAGAGTTACAACGGGCTAAAAAAAAAAAAAAAAACAGGTTCTTTTTTATTTGAGTTTGTCTTTTGTTTGGTTTCTAAAACAAATTGATACAAACATCTTTTGGGTACAGAGCTTCAAGTCTTTGATGCCTCATATTTACCCAGATGCTGTAACTTGAGTACTGGCTGACCTGCTACCACTACAGCATGGTACAGCGAAAACAACAAAATCAGTGGCTAAGGGTCAAGAGGCCTGGGCTCTAGTCTTGGCTCTGTCGCAAGCTGTACGACCTGAGGGAAACCACTAATCCTTTGCTGGGCCTCAGGTTTTTCATCAGTTAAATAAGAGGAATGAACTAGATGAGTCATTGTCAAGCTTTAGTTTGCTTAAAAATTGTCAGGGAACTTACTGAAAATGCAACTTTTTCCCCCCTCCCCTGAGAGTCTGACATATTAGTTAGGTGACATGGTGCCCACAGCTGAATTTTTAGATATCTTGCCTTGATCCTAAGACAGATGGTACATTTTCAAAGAGCCCATTTTGAGAAACAGTGAATCAGACATGAGGTTCTTTTCAGACCTGAAGTTCTTTGAGTCTGTGATTCTAGATGATAAACCAACCAACCAATCAATGACTCTACTTGAGATTAGTAAGTTTTTCAGGGCAGGAATAAATTACATTTGCTTACTATCAGCAAAGAACAAAAACAGACTATGATCATAAGGCTAAGTGAAATTGCAAAGGACAATGCCTTTCATACAAATATAAGAAGATGACCATTTCTTTTCCCTAGAATAGATGTAATATCACTTAAAGTTGTTAGGGGTGAATGGGCTGAGCGCATTACCTCCTCTAATACTTTTCTAAAAGAAAGGCAGGATTTCCAGATTTTATTGGCAATTATAGCCAAAGAAAATAAATTTCCTTCAAGTAGCAAACACTCCACAAATGTCTCAATATAGTCTTCCCCAAAAGAAGAAAAAATAATAGCAACCAAATACCAGTGGGGAAAAAATATACCATTCAGTGTGTCACTGTTGTGAATTTAAAGTATAATGGTCTTCTCTTGGTATTATTTGCAAAGCAAACATATGATTCTTCCCTTCTTTGACAACTACCACCCTCAGAGCACAACCGCACCCCACTAAGAAGCAAGCACATTAAAAAAAATTCTCTATAGAAATCAAGTGGGAAAATGTTGTTGTGTATTTGTTATATAAAGGGATAAAAATTCTAATTTGCCATTATAACAACCATTCTTATTGCACCTTCAGATTAAGTTGCTTAAGATCTGCTTTTGTTGACAACAGCAGGCATTGAAGGATGGACAGAAAGGGCAGCTGTAAATGGGAAAAAAGGGGGCTATAAAAAGGGCACCAGAGGGTGTGAATGTGAAGGGAAGAGGCCAAAAATACTATAGAGGCAAGGTATCTAAAAATAAATTTAAAACATATCATCCAATTTGAGATCTGACATAGATACACACCTAGGTTGCTGCAGAACTCTCCTACCATGCCATCTGGGTTTGCAGTTGGAATCTGGGTGAGCCCTGTCAGAATGAGGACATCGCTGTTTTTGAGAGAAGCCTGGTCCATGGGCTGAAAAAAAAACAGAGAACTATGCTTAGTGTAATTTAAAAAAGAACAAGTCATTTACAAATAGTAAAGATAAAAAGAGAATATAGACTGCTCTTTGTTTCTGTGTCCAACCCATCAAGTCCTCTTACTCCCTCCAGTAAAAAGTGTACTTCTGAACAGTCATTATCTAAGGGGGTTGAGATCTGACTGGAAGGAGGCACAAGGGAACATTATGGGGTGATCAAAATTCACAGAAATGTACATTTAAGATATCTGTGTTCACTTTATATAAATTTTACTTTAATAAAAAAAGCATATTTCTAGAGCACTTAGCTCTTCTCAAAATGTGATCTCACATGATAGCAGTGGTTCTCAAGCTTGTACCAACTATATCAAAATTACCTGGAAGGTCTGGTAAAACATCAAGTGCTGGGTCTCACCTCCAGAGTTTCTAATTCAGTGTATCTGGAATGAGGCTTGAAATTCTGCATTTCTAACAAGTTCCCAGGAGATACTCACATTGCTTGTCTAGGAATCACACCTTGAGAACCACTGCATTACATAATTTGATTCTCAAAACAACTCTGTGAAGTATGTGAAATAAGTGTACGTTATGAGAATATGGAAATTGAGGCTCAAGGAGGTTAGGTGATTTACCCTAAGTCTTAGTGGCAGTGTAGTCAGAGCACTGGATTAGGAATTAGAAAATGCAAACCTAGTTCAAATTCCATTATAGCCGTGTGACCTCAGCCAAGTCTCAGAGCTGAGTTTCCTTAAAATAGGGGTATTTCTTCATCTATTTCCCTGAAATAATTTCTGTTCTTGTGAATTATAAAGTCCTATGATATACTATTATTTGATTCTGAGAATTTTTTTTTTACCTAACACAATTTGAATGTAATATTGTTTTCAGAGCATTTCAAAAAATACTAACCACCTTTTCTGAAATAAATCAGGATTCAAATTGGAAACAAAATGAAGGCCCATGGACTGAAATGCTGGAGAGCTCATATATGTTTTCATCTGGTAACAAACACATCTTTTGTTCACTTCCATTTAAAATACTCACTGGAAGATTAGAAAAAAAAGCAGAAACACAATTTACTAAGAAAGAAGACTTATCCCTATTTTCTCTGTTGCACTCAGATTCCCTAATAAAGATATAAAATTACAAATAGTAGCACAGTAAAGTCCCACCATCTGGATTGTTGTTTCTGAGTATATGTGCATTCCAATGTATTTTCCTTTAGCATTTTATATAAGCATGGACAAATGGGTTTCATTATTTAAAAAATAACATATCATATGTTATAAGCTGCTTTGTTCCCTAAAAAACATTTCTTTTTTAATACAGACACAGAAAATGTTATGAAGAGACAACTGTATTTAAATAGTTTCTAATTCCTATTTGCATAGAAACACACCAGTAAGAGTAAGAGCTATTTCTCAGCTTGGGCAGAACTGGTCTATTTGTACCTCTCCAACAAATACAAATGCATGCATTGTTTCCAGAGAAGGCAGGAAGGGAAGTAAAGTACAGTGGTTTATAGCAGCAGCTGTGTAACAAGCCTAGGGATTTTCAGTGTGTGTACACGTCAACCTGAAGGAAAGGGGAACGGTGACAAAAAAAACAAAAAACAAAAAACAAAAAAAAAAACCATGGACCAAGCTTCACTGGGTAGCATATTTGGCTTAAAATGGCAACAGTTTTATATGGATCTTCTTAGAATAGGCTAATAATAATGATCCACAGGGCTGAGGACAGGGGGTAGGGAGTCTTCAGAGGGCCTAGGAACCCCCTGAAACGGTCTGTACAATTTTGTGTGTGCATATGTACATTTTCCCACAGATTTGATCAGGGTGCCATATGGGACCATAACCCCAAAGAGGTTAAGAACCACTCATATAGATGAAAACATGTAACGGGGAGCAAACTCTGGTCCTGAAAACAACATTATGTCTGAACCTTTGTCATCAGCATTGCCTTCCTTTGAGAATTAAATGTCCATAAACAAACAAAAAAGGCAGTACTATAGCATGGCAACACAGAGATGGAACAGTTACATGACACACCATGATCAGGTCATCTAGCCTTTTGTAACTTCAGCCCTGTAACTCTTGAGACAGTCCTCACTGATTCCCAGTGCTACTGGAAAGTAGTAGGGTTAAAAGGCTTTAGTGACACTCTCCAAACCAAGCCGACACCTCAAAAGTCTCCATTTCATCACTAAAGGGCAAATGTATGTATTACTAGTGTCAATGGCCACTCACTGAGTGCTTCAAGTGGGAACATTTTGTTCAAACACACAAAAAAGGGAAAAATCCATCTTGTCCAAAAATCAACTAAAAATACCTTATAAAGCTGACAATAATCATCAAGCTTCTGGAATAAGATTTTGAAAAATTCTAAGCCTAAGAATACTGTGGCCACATGTTGTTCCTCTGATGGATAACTTTTATTGAATACTCTGTAAAGGGCATACGAAATAGAAGACCTAGTCACTAGGCCCCAGAAGCTTATGATGTACTTGAAGAGAAAAGATAGATGCATAATAAAAAAAAAAAAAAAAAAAAAAAAAGGACTTTTTAAAAAGCCATAGACAATAGAATGCAAATTTTAAGAATTCACACCAAGAATGTAAGTGCCAAGAGGAATGCAGGTTAGAGAGCTTTGCCTGGTCAGGTGAGGTCAATATATAAGGAGTTTGGCACATGAAGTTTTGGTTCTAATTTTTTTTTTTTCTTTATCCAAGGAACTAAAGACTCAATTTAAGATGGCTGAGAATACCAGAAAGATGTTTACCTGTGTTTCATTGACTATGCAAAGGCATTCAATTATGTGGATCATAACAATTTATGGATAACATTGTGAAGAATGGGAATTCCAGAACACTTAATTCTGCTCATGAGGAACCTGTACAGACCAAGAGGCAGTCATTCGAACAGAAAAAGGGGATACTGCATGGTTTAAAGTCAGGAAAGGTGTGCATCAGGGTTGTATCCTTTCATCATACTTATTCGATCTGTATGCTGAGCAAATACTCTGAGAAGCTGGAATATATGAAGAAGAATATGGCATCAGGATTGGAGGAAGACTCATTAACAACCTGCAATATGCAGATGACACAACTTTGCTTGCTGAAAGTGAAGAGGACTTGAAGCACTTACT